ACGAGGCCAATGCCACCTCACTAAGACTGTGACACTGTTAACCCTATTCTTCCAACAGGAAATTAAAGGACAGAGGGTAAATATTTTTCCCATCTTTAAGTGAACAAGAGGTAGCAGTGATTTAAATCCAAGGAGAGTGAATCGATCTCAGAGTGTCTAATAATAGCCGCTCTTCACCTAAAATTTTATTATCCTCAGGAGAAAGTTAAAAAGAGAAATGCAAGCCGGGGAGCTGCAGTTCAGATGTCTGGGAGGCTTGCGTCCTGTGACTCTAAGGTAACTTGTGGTCCAAACATTAGGGATTTGGCTGGGTTTAAGTGCTTGCATCTCAGCATTGTGAGCTGTAAGTCTGAATTTCAAGGGAAGAGATTGTGAGGGGAGAGGTGGGGAAGGGGAGAGGAAAGGAAAGAAGGAAGATGAACATGAACAAGGGAAGGAGGGAAATGAAAGGAAGTGGAAAGAGAAAACAGGAGGGGAGGAGTGGGAAGGGTCCATAATAGTAGTTAGAGCACACGGCGTAAAAATTAGGCATAGCCACTATGATGTCATGTGGCAGAGCCCAGTTCAGCCTGAAGGTGAGAAATGCTTACAGCTCTATATGCCAAAGCCTTTCTTGGCATGTTAGATGCTGGGGTGATGGGGAAGAAGTTGGTACATAATATAATACTACAATATCTGTTTTGCATCAAACTCTGCAAGTTGCCCCTAATAGTGCAAAGTCAGCCACTGAAGTTCATGGGCATCATCTCTGGCCACAAGACCTCAGGTACATTCCAGACTCACACCATCTGTGCTGAGGCTCCCCTTCCCTCAGGCTTCAAACTATTCATCTGTGCATAATTCATTTCTAATTTATCAGCTGTCATCTAAGACATCAAGTAGTAACATATATTAATATTATCATTTTAGAATATAATGACTATAAAGGATTTTATGTAACATCTTTAATAACAAGAAGCACTGATTATTTGATAGTATCTCAGGGGACCTCTCTTCTTTTTTTATTTTCTTTTGTTTGTTTGTTTGTTTATTTATTTATTTATTTATTTATTTATTTATTAAAGATTTCTGCCTCCTACCCACCACCGCCTCCCATTTCCCTCCCCCTCCCCCAATCAAGTCCCCCCCCCCGTCAAGCAATGATGTGTGTCACGAATACCTTGAAAGTGAACTTAAGGGTCTTTACTTAAACATAGAAAGTTGTATTCGAATAAGCACAGTGATATAGGACAGAAAGAATGGCCAGACGATTCTGCAATTGGTGCTGGAATAATTCATCTTAGAGTGGGCAGAAAATGAGCGCGATCACTGTCAATTCACCATATAAATAATTCCTCTACAGACAGATGTTTGAATTTTTTAACAACAGATACTAAAGGGATGAGAAAATTCTGCTTATTTAGAGCAGAAGGATTTAGTTGTGGTAAGAAAATTGACAATGGACAAGAATAAACAAATATTCCTCTTCTAGCAATAGTGAATACTCTGACCCTTCAGGCTAGATTAGAGCAAGTCCATAAAGCTACCTGCTGTACTTCAACACAGCGCATGCGTTTGCACCCCATGTTTAAATACCTTATTTTTTCTGAATGCAATCATTTTCTTCATTGGTATATTCACGAATTTAATGGTTCCAATGAACCCACTTCCAAGGTGCTTATGGACATTATATCTCAGCCTAAGAAACAATAGAGCATTACTGCAAAATGTATCTTCCTAATATTTTGACTTAAGGACATTGGTCGAATGTCAAATAATACACTAGAATCTGTTCGGACTCTAGGGCAAAACAACCATAATGTCAGAGCATGCTCAACTCTACCTTCCATTAAAATTAAAATACCAGTGTACTCAACTAATAGGAAGTTACACAGTAGTTACCAATGTTCTTGCTCCAGGGACACAATGGATGCCTGAAGTCACTAATAATAAAAATCATTGTGTACAATGTGGTTCTATCTTATGTATAAATGTATTGATAAGTTTAGTTTATAAATTTGGCACAGGAGGAGAGCAACAATAATAACTTGTAACAAAAGAAAACAATGGTAGCAATGCATAAATTGTGTGACTATGCTCTCTCTGTGCCACACAAACTAGCTCATGATAGGATCCCATCCTTTTCACGTTTAATGTGGGGCGATTATGCCTACGTGATGCAATGAAATGATTGCATTGAGATGAAATGATGAACATGGTGTAGGCATTGAGGTGGGGCACCAGACTACCACATCCAGGTACTTGATAGCCAACATGGCTACTAAGTCACTGATGATCAGGTAGCACACTCAGTGTGGATACAGTGGTCAAGAGATGATTCGTATTCCTTGACAGGTGGAGTAAAATGATAGGAGATTTCAACCCAACCTCAAAACAGAATGTAATTGAAAACCTGGCATGCTTAACATTCTCTTACCATTGCTGAGTGAAAGGGCTGAAAGCGAAGCAATAGGTTAGGAGGAAACGTTACACCAGAGAGAGATTGGGCTGTGTTGTAATTCCAGTATTAGCAGTGCTTGATTTTGTCTTGGTGTTACTTTATGTTGATTTTTGCATTATATTCCCAAAAGCTGTGAACTCTCTGCGGGATCTAGGTACAAGCCCTTCCTTGCCACTTTCTGGCATCTGCAGTCCTTCACAAGTTTTAGTTCATAGCTGCATTACTCCTAATTCAGCTTCTGTTACCTCGTGGCCTCGCAGGCTCTGTGTATCTCCAAATCCCACTCTTCTTATAAGGATGCCAGCCAGTGGTTTTAGAGCCTGTCTCGACTTGGTAAAAATCTCATTTCAGCTTCATTGCATCTCATAAAACCCTATGACCAGATGAAGTAAATCACACACACACAGGTATCAGCATTCAGACTGCCCTGTAGCCTTTTGGAGGAGACAATTCACCCTGGCTCTCCTATCAGGATCCCACTCACTTACTTGGCAAAATCCATGGTATTTCTCCCCTACAGCTGGACAACACTTGGGTTGTTTCTCATCCCCTGCCTGACCTTTCTTCACCAGTTCTTCCGATCCCTCAGAAACGATGCCTGTCTATCACAGATAACTGGGATTTTTATCTGTTGGTTTCACCTACGGATACGTGACCTGCTGGCTTGGCTGAACACCTCTCCCAAGCTGAGCTAAATACTTAGGAGTGTTTGAATAAAATAAGTAATATATAGACTTTAATAATTCACTCAAAATCTGGCATTCCTTTATGAACATTCCATGTAATTAATAAGAAAAAAAATCAAATCTAAATAAAAAAAGAAAAATGTAATCAAGTAGGTTGACAACCAGCAAGAGATAATTAAAATGATCCTGTTTTGTTTCTTACTTTCATTAACATGCAAATGAGATTCATGAAGTTTGATATTGTGTTTCAGCAAGAGCCATAGAAACAAATTAAGAATGAAAATGAGTCCCACCGATGGAGATTCCTGTTGAGTATATAAATTAATGAAAACTATGATTACATCCAATTAATAAAATATAATTCTGTGATTTATTGGCCCTCAAAAATGAAACAAAGCTTCATAGATAAATTAAATTTTGATTCTTTTTTGGTGGACCCCACTCTGTGAATGCTGTCAAGATTTAAGAGAAGGGCAATAAATGTTAAACTCTGCTTTACTTTTACAAGCACAAGGTAGAGAGACCTTGCTTACAAATCAGAGTGTTGTAGAAATGGTGTCCCTGATAGGAGGTGAGGCGATCTAGGATGTCACCCAGAATACAGAGAGAACCCAATGCCTGTGCAGTCAGAGATCCAGAATCACAAGTAGGAATCTCTGACTACAAGGTACTTGTAGGAAACAGAGAAGCATGAGCAAATCCAAGGAATCTGTGTCTCTCACTGAATACAAAGATCTCAGGGTTCCCCTCCATTTGGTACCTTTGCTCTGAGAAACACGCCAAAGTGCTTACCTCGAATAATTTGAGATTTTAATCATATCGAAAAAAGCTTAAAACCATGTCAAAGGGTCATACAAACATGTCTATAGTCATTGGAACTGAGTGATGTATAATGTATACCAGATGACAAAATGCACACACACACACACACACACACACACACACACACACACACTGTTAGGTCCAAAGTTCCACATACTCAAACTCAAGCATTAAGCAACAGCACCAAGAAGAGCAATAACAGCAAGGAATAGATTCTGCAGCATGGTGTAAGAGGAAGTAACACTCAAGCAAAGTACGGTTTTGAAATTATGAGTTGTTGGGAGTCTGCTTTTTTATCTGTTAAAATGGCTTCCTATTTGTCAGTGTGTCCCTCACATGTTTGTGCTGATGTCTTTGACCCCAGTATATTAAAGAATGTAACCTCGGTGACAGTCATTTAGTACATGGGTGTGTGGCATGGCACGCTCTCATATCTCCTGCCAATGAATTGTTTTTGTCTTCCCTTTCCCTGAATCATATACAAGTCATCCCTCGAGCCCAGCCTACCTAAAAAATACAAACAACTAGAACTGAGTATTTCTCAAGGGGCAGAAAAGCCTTAAGAAGCTCTTGATCCCCAACAACAAAGAAAGCCATGTCAACCACATCAAGAATTAAACAAAATAGGGATTATTATTTTCAAATACATTGCATGCTTTAAAATTACTTCTTGCAGACCCCTTTAACTTGAAATAGGAAGCCAATTAAGTTCCCATCATTCCTATATCCATAACGATTGCAAATCATTGAATCATTGCTATATTTTTTTAACTTTACAAGATACATAAAAAACTCACCAGATTGAAGAAACTAAATTCTTTGGATGTTAAAATGATGGTATAGAGTTTTCTGGTAGGATGTATTTCTTTGTCTTTCCTGAATGGAAGCCAGGTGTCTTAAACGTCTACTTTATCATCATTGGCCTATTTAGACATTAATTTCTTTTCAGAGCATATCACTTGCAACGCTCATTTTATTAAGAAAATTTTATTAAGAAAATTCACAAGATTTATCCTGAGTCAAAGGGTTGGGGGGGGGGGGAGCGGACTTACCGTCTCTTCGATTCAACCTTGCGAATCCAGGACCATGACTGCTGGAGAGCTCAGAAGAACTGCTGAAGGATGCCGGAGGCAAGGCAGACACCAGGGGCTCATCACAGTCATCTGCCAGGAGGGAAAATGCCACATTCCAGTGAGCACAGAGCTGACAGTTCTCTTCAAATCAATAGACACAACAAATAAACACAACATCAAAACGAGGATCTAAGCCACGCGTGGCAGCACGTGCCTGCAATCCTAGTGTGCAGCAGGAAGGTGCAGGGTGACCAGGAGTTCAAGGTCATCCTCAGATATACGGCGAGTTCAAAACCATCCTGGGCTGCAAGAAACTCCGTCTCAAAATAAGTAAACAAGCAGACCTAGATTCTCTAGAACTATGCCTATTTTGCATGCAGTATGCCGCCAAAAGTCTGGCAAGGTCAGTAGCCATAGAAAAACAACTGATAGATGAGAGATTGTAGAAACAGAGAAAGAGAGAAAGGAGACATTATAGAAATTAAAAAATAAAATATGGTAAGATCAAAAGATATGCTTTAAAAAAGATTTTTTTATCATGAGCAGAAAAATGCATAAATTTAAGTACACTAAAATGAACTTTGTTACTTGCTGGGATATACCTGTAATCCCAGGAATAAAGAAAACTGCTACATAAAGATCTCAAGGTCAAAGCCCAGCTGGGCTAGACAGTGAACTCAAGGACCCACAGTCACATTAGTAAGACCCTATCCCAAATTATTTACAAAAGCAGAACAAGGGCTGGGTATCTAGCAAAGTGGTGGGGTGCTTGCCTAGCATATGCAAGGCCCTGGGTTCAACCTCTAGGTTCACAGAATAAAAAGAATCGATGGTTTCTAAGATACACTATACAGTGGGAAAAAACAATCACAAAATGTATCAAGTTCGTCTAAAAGAAACAAATGAGACATAGATGTTTCTATAAAAATGTAAAAGTTTGTTGAGATGTTTAGAAATTTATAGAATGTATGAAAGAAATATTTAAAGAGGAAAGAAATACATGGAAACTTGTATCTGAAAGAATGATTATAAAAGAAGCATAAACCAGGACACAATCCAGGAGCCTGAGTAGAGAAGACGTTTTAAGTGAAGAAAAATAGATATACCTTCCATTTTGTTAGAAAACACACTAGATACCAGGCACATTGGTTGACACAAACTTCATAAATGCCAAAACTACAAGTAGATACATCTTTATAAGCAATGAGTGGATAAACTGTACAGGGTCCAAAAAGACCAAAGGAACTGAAGCATGTGGGTCAGGAGTCCCTCCATACTGCTTATGAGAAAATAGCATAGGTAAATACTTGTAAAACAACTGGCTATGTGCTTGTCAACTTAAACTTCAGCATGCTCCAAGACTCCACTAGCTCCACTAAGGAGCAAGTGCTTCTGGGAATGGCTTACCCACGAGGAACAACAGTCTCAAGAGGCCTTCTAAAGGCACAAGAGTGATATACAAATGCCAGCAGTTTTCAATTCCCATCAAACCAACAAAGCCGGACACCACTGACTGAGCTGCAGATGCGAGGGTCTCTGCACTCAGAGGCACATCCATCACTCATAACAGCAAAGAACCATTCACAACTCACATGTAGTGTCCAAAGAACAGACAAGGACAGCATAGTTCACCATGAAATAATACACGGCAATGAAAAGGGACAACAGCGATACAAAATGGTTAGCTCATAGGAATATAATTTTAGTGGGAAAATATTGAGTTATAACAGCAGATCTGCTAGTTTTGGGAATTTGTAAATGAAAAGATAAATAACATGTTGTTTAGAAGCATGCATGATTTGTCATTCAAATTATTTTAAGAGAAGGAATGAAACTGTAAGACTTCAGGATTTGTTTGTATCGTGGGGTAGACTCAAGATGAGAAGAAAGTACCCGGGATGAAATCGCCAAAGGTCAAAGTCTGGGTATTAATGGCACCTTCCAAAGATTCCATTTTGTTATAACACTTCAAAAATACACAAGCATTGGCATATATGCATATGCCTGTGCAGATCTTAGGCTCTGTTAAAGTAGAGACAAGTCTCCATCTATTTATCTTAATATCATTGCTCTTTGTGTGTAATAATGGGAAGGGACACATATGTATGGGTGTTTGTATGCACAGAGAGGCCAGAGCTCAACTCAGGCTTCTCGCTGGTCTGGAGGTTCTGGAGGAAACTGGGCTGCATGCATAGCTAGCTGCATGTTCAACCTCCTTCTGTGTCCCCGGTGCTGGGATGACAAGTGTTGCCAGCACACCCAGCTTTTGTAGGCAAGTTCCCGGGATTGAACTCTGATTCTCAAACTTGATCCTCAAGAATGTTACAAACCTCTCTCTCTCTCTCTCTCTCTCCAGCCCCACATATACTGCTTTTACTGTTAAAAAGCAAAGTACAAAAAAAAAAATACAGTGATAATGCTTGCTTTGATAGTGACACACGCTTAATGTACTCTGAATGAACTCTAAAGCACTTTCCTTTTGGAATTAAGAAGTTACTCTCACTTCTGCTTTAATCAGAATAAAAGCTCCTACTTAATATTTTTATGTATCTTGGTAATTTAAAAGCATGCAGGGTTATTGTCTCAAATGTTTTCTTTGACAGTAATTTAATTTAGATTAATTCAAAAGTTATCTGGATTCACCTGAAACGTTACAGAGTTCTTTCTGCCTGAACATAGCTTGCTCTTGAATGACTTTCACAAGACTTTGCCCAATGTAGCCTTGTTTTCTTGTCCTCTTTGGAGGTTTCTTGGTTTGTTCTTTGGGGTTTTACTCCGTGTTAGCAATCAAAACCACGGCCCCAAGCACGCAAGGCAAGCACTCTACCAGCTGAGCCCCAGCCCCAGCTCCCCATTTAGTTTCTTAAGATTATCTCATTTTCATGTATAGCTCACTTTCCCCTCTTTTGTACCTCCAATTCTCTAGCTGACTCTTAAGGAAGACAGGTTCTTGCATGTCTATTGATTAGCTTAAGTGCTAACACCAGCCATTCTAGTTGTTAACTCAAGTAGTAAGGGGCGTAGACATTAAAAGACTTACAACCCACGGAGTGTTGGAGGGGGTGGGTGGTTGTACCCAATTATAAAAGCAACAACCAAAACGCTTTAGTACACCGTGGAAGCTAAAGTGTATGTGTGTGTGTGTGTGTGTGTGTGTGTGTGTGTGCGTGCGTGCGTGTGCGCACGCACATGTTCACTAAAACTGCCTGCCTTTGGGGTCATTATCAGTATGCAGGTGTGCGATGCAAGGAGCTGTTTAACTGCATCTCAAATCAATTACGCAGATGAGAATCGACTTGGCAAACGTAAAGAGCACCTCCGCTGCAGCCACTCTAGAAGGTATATATTTATTGCCCATTTGATTTTGTCAACTGTAAATTGAGAATCCATACTGCTCCACTTTTAGTTTTTAAAGAACAGGACTGAAATAAGAGAAGGGGTCATTTTTTTTCCCATTTGTGGGGAGAGGGGCAAGCAACCTGGGAGGGAGGTGGATCATGGAAGGTGTGAGTGAGGAACTCTGAGGTTGGGTCAAGCTCCAATTGGACCTTCACCTGCGTGACTCTCTTCTTTCCCACAAGCCTGCAAATCCTCTGCATGCTGCTGTAAGTTTTCCCAACAGTAGAGTCATTTAGTCATTCGTCTCCAACTAACTAGAACATAGTGCATACTTGGAGGACTCAGATACTCTCACACGTAGTAACTGGCCTTTATTCTTCTTCATTGAGATTTTAATATTAATAACTTATCAATGAAGTCTTTGAGGCACAAAGCTTAGCTCACTCTCTTATCTTCCTGTAGCAGGATGGAGACATTTATAAATCAAGTTGGAGCGGAAAATCAAGCATATAAGAACACCATGACTATAAAGAGCATTCCTTCAGTTTCCGCCGCGATGGGGCACCATGGCAGCATTGCTAAAACGCATCTTGAGAAGTTATTCTCTCAAGTTTGGGGTTCCCCTTGCTATTGTTTATTACACGCTTGATATTCAATAGTTTTGACCACAAGAAGGGAAGACCTTGAGCAGCAGTAATGAGTCTGAGGTGACCAAACAGGGCATTTCCCTGTGACTAGTAATAGGATGGAATTGTAGATTACATATAGGCCTCCTGTGAGTTTAGTTCCAAACTTTCTCAGCTGGCAGTCATAAAAGGAGAGTTCTGAACTGATGGTGTTGAGGGACAATATCTCAGGTCAAAGACTGTCAACCAGAGCAGACTGCAGCCCTGAGAGGCACTGAGCAATGGCTGTTGGAGGCATGTTCCTCCCAGCGACCTGTAGATCAGGTACAGAGACAGTCTTCGGCACACTCTCTAATCTACAGGACATGACTCCACAGTACAAATCCCAATGGTGCTGAGGCTGGAAAAGAGCATTCCCGATTCAACACCCAGCTGGAGCAGTCTCTCAGCAGGGAATCTCCAACTTCCTCTCATATTTCAGCGTGGATGAGACTCTAATTTGCAGCATTTTTGCATTTGAATAACGATCATTCAGGACGTTTTAGTATATACGCATTGACGCCAGGAGGCGTGCAACACTGGAATGTCAGGCTACTCTAGCTTAAACACAAAATTATGTTTTTGTTATTAAGTACTAGATCAGATCATAACAGCACCCTGGTCTCTTCACTGCCAGTAATGTTGTTGGCAAAAATAAAAGTACGTAGAGGGAAATAACAAGACATGGGAAAAATGAGGGGTGCATTGATTGTGGAATGGAATAACATGGTTGCCAGACATTTTAGAGAAGATTACAGAATTCAAAATGGTAGCAGAGCAAATTGGGATATTATTAGACATTTCTATTAGCATAAGAAACTTTCATTATTCTGCTTTTTAAAAATTATAACACCTTATTTGGCATTTTTAAAAGTCGTAGTAGATTCTGCTTTTTCCTTGATATCAGTGGCAAATAGTAAAACTGCAGATTTTAGTCTTTTTGTTTAAAAAAATGGTTCTCAACCTGAGGGTCATGACCTTTTGGGAGGTCAAATGGCCCTTTCACAGGGGTTGCCTAAGAGCATTGGGAAACACAGACATTTACATTATAATTCATAACAATAGTAAAATTGCAGTTATGAAATA